TTTTTTTCAGCATTTTTATGAACATCTCTATGATTTATTCTAGTATTTAAATAACATTCTTATCGTCCACATATGCCTTGTATCGTACAAGAGTATCTTCTCCGCCCCCGGGAGTATATCGTTATTGCTTGTGGATACATATATTTTTCATGTTATTTAACCATAACTTCGCTTCTTTTTATCAGATTTACTTCATTGTTGTATGTAATTATCAGTGTTTATTATCTCCAGTTATGTTGTCAAGATTGAGTAGTAGTAGCCAAATATCCTACAGATTTATGCTGTTTTCGTGACGCAAAGAAACACACTTTGGCCTGTATTCAGCCATTTCTATCAGTTTACATAAGTGTATTCTCCCTGATTGGCTCAATTAAAACAACCAATCATATTAATTGACGCCAAGGATTAAAATTCTAAGGTGTGAATCCACCCTTGTCTTTAAATTGACAAAGAGTGTTAATTAAGACAGACTTCATCCTTTGTACTCCAAGTGATACATTGTTCCAAATCGTCCTATCGTATGTAGTTTTCAACTAGCTCTATCTCATTGCTGTACAACTGAATAAATGCGTGTTGACCATTAGAACATTGCACACTGGTATACCGTCTGCTGCTTGATGTATCTACAGTCTATCTGGTGAGATTTAAAGATCCTATACTGTTTGTGGCAGTTTCCCCCACATGTTTCAAGACATTTGAAAAAAAATATTTCAGAAGCATAACAATACAACGACTAGATTTGGTGTCACAGTTTGCTCCCAATTCATACTGGAATATTGCCAGCAATAATTAATAAAGCTTTTTCAGAAAACCATTTATTCCCGACATCATATTCAATGGCTAGTTCTCAGGATCTACAACAGTAAATAAATAAACAGAAATCATTTTGAGGCCATGTTTTTAGACGACCCTGCCATATCGCACAGATATTCAACACCACCATATCGAATTTGGACCATACCATTTCAAGCTGCAGGGTGTCTAAACAATGACTCAACAAACAATAAACACATCTTCCACCCACCACACAAATTTTAGCCACAATTGAACAACCAAGAAAGCAACAAATATCAGGCTGCATCTTGAAAACAACGAGATACCGCATTACAACCAGTCATTACAAACATGAAATCCTCCACCCCTCCCAGTACACCCTACAGCATTAATGGTTCCTATACTCATTTGCATC